TGAATTTCTTATCTTTCTGGGAACAGTCAGATCTGCTCATATTTGCTTTGCTCCTTTTCATGTCAGGGAATATGTTTATCAGCAGCAAACAAGCACCTGATTGTTCTTGTTTTGCTTAAATTGTCTCCTTCTACTTTTCTCTCCTTCCTCGCCCATTTTTTACCCTATTTTCTTCGTTGTTTGCTTATTTTATGCTATTCTGCATACAAGCCAACTAAATCACTACCTTTCTTCTAAAGGAAAACCAGAAAATCCTATAGTCCCAGCTCTGTAAATTCTCATATAAGCTATTATGTTTGTCTTTGGGAAAAGCCAGTAACTAAACTCTGTCTAGAAGCCTGTTCTGTTCAAGGAAGAGGGAGAGAGAAGGATGAGAGTTACTCAGTTCTGCATCTCCTGCAAACACTGGCAACCTGTGAAAAATCTGATTGCCTGGTTCCCTTCAGAAGACAAAGGCACATCTGATGATTATAGAGGTTGCTGCCAGAACAATCACAGCTGAACTGGACAGCTTTGTCTTAACTTCTAGTTTTAAAATACTTTTAAACCTTGTGTGTAAATGTCATAGATGGTATAGAAAAGCACTTGTCCCAGAAATACTTCTTGTAGGATTCAAAAGTTTCTGCATTCCTGAGTCAGACGGGTATGTCCAGAAAGTGAATTAACTCAGATTTCGGATCCACAGCACAAACAGATATTCAATTGAAAGTCCTTCAAAACATCCAAATAAAATTTCTGCATGCTCAGATCTGAGGAGTTTGAACAGCGAGTTTAGTGGAAGTAGTAAAGATGATGGTTGAGAGCTGTGTGTGAAGCTTTAGGCAGATTTGGAGTGGAAAATTGGTAGATAAAAGATACGCAGCTTGTAAGAAGAAGTGGTGCTTTTGCATGCTTCTCTGGTGAGCTGTTTGAGTGTGTTGTGACTTGGTTTCTTTTGGTTGCTTTGCATTGTGATTTCTTTTCCTCAGCCTTATGCTTTTATTACCTTCTTTCTTTCTTTCTTTCTTTCTTGCCAGCATGCAGCATCATGGTTTTCTTGCTATTCTTGCTGACAGTGGGCTGCTTAAAGCATTCATGGACATTGTTTGCATGTCGTTTTGTGCATTTGAGGAATGTCTCATTGTATTAATGTGCATGACGATAGATTTGGTTATCCTCTGCTTGTTTAATTTTGTGGACTTTTTTTTAACTTCAGGAATTTTTATTTGGTTTTGAAGTACTTGGTAGTTCCACTGGAAATGACAGCTCTGTGTGTCTGTGTGTATGTATATGTGTGTATGATCTGTATACTGAAATTAGAATTAATTATCTATTTTGCAGTTTTAAAACAAATTAGTTTTCCTTTAGAAGGTGACCGGTATGCAGGATGTCTTTGTGCGGCAGGATCATAGATCCTTATGCAATTCCTTTCCTTTCAATGCTTTTTATGGCAGGAGGTGATGAGAGCTCAAGCATTTTTAAACCAGAACAAAGGCTGTGCTTCCTAGCTTTGATTACTGAATTGAGTACCTTTAGCAACGTGGCCTTTCTTAAAGTTTCGTATGCAGATGTAGTTGATTAAGCAACCTGTGTCAGTTTTGTCTGAGGTCGAGTTAAACCAAGTTCTGTGGAAGCCCTGTGACTGATTTAAAGATGTATTTCTTCTTTTCCCCACTGACCCTCCTTCCGCACATACTCATTGTTCCATATTTTTGTTTTCCCTGAAAGCACCATATTACCAGCCCGTAAACATGGTATCATGCTGTTAGAATGCAGAGGTTTTCTTCTAAATGAACTGTTGTCTTGGAACACTTTGCTTGTTACTCAGTACAAAAATTAATGTTGAGTTTTAACAGTTTCACAACAGACATGATGAGACTTCTCTGATACTCATTTTACAGCTTTCATTCATTCAACCAAGCATACATCATCTAGACAGTGCAGCCCACATATGCCTAGTTGTAGTGTGTTCTTTTACCCTGAAATGTGAAGGAAAAAAGACAGAAAGTAATATTCAAAGCAGCCTAGATAGAATTCAGTAAAAACGTCTGCAGTATTCTAACTTGGGTTTTATTAGAGCTTAATGGTAATTAAGAAACCTTAAGTGTGTGAAATTAAAAACCAAAAAACTCACACAAAACCCACCTTCAAGTGTATTTCAAAGGATCTCATATTGCTCTGTATGCATTTCTTAGACTAAAAGCTGGAAGAAAGTTCGTGCTTTTAACGTCTTCGTACAAATGAAGGAAGCATTGCAGCTACTCGAGGAATTTGTCTTCAGGTTTTTTTTTTTTTTGTATAGATAACCTGAATAGTTTAATTTCAAGCATGGAAGAAAAGAAATCATTTTTCTAAAACATTTAATGCACACAAGGATAGAAATTAAATAATTCACAGATGTTAAGGAGCCATTTTCTTATGCTATCTCATAACTACTGTGGATCACCTGGAGGTTGTAAATGGATTAGCAGCATATAAAGACTAGTTCTATATGATTTAGATGACAAGTTTTTGGTATGTACTTTGAGTATTGTTTCTTAATTCAAACTTCATGCTATTTTAACATTCAAAATTACTAAGATTGAAAGCACTGTAATAAAGAGTTCCAGTATGAGGAATATTTATTATGGGCAAAATTCACTTTTATTTAGAAGACAAAATCTTCAGCTTTCATCAACACTGTGTTTGAGGATACAAATGGAATTAAATGGTACAAATGCCTTTTGTGAAGCTGAAGCAAGTTCTCAGAAAGTGAACTCCTGGTCATAAACAATGAAGAACGATTTTGAAGAGGCTGGTGCGGCAGACAGTATATTGCAGAGCTGTTAAATCATCCATTTACAGCATCCACGCAACTCATTCCTCTGTCCTCTCATTTGTTCTTCCAATGGTGCACTGCTTGGGAGTGCAAGTCTTCAAATCCATGCTCCGGATCTTAACCTGATTTGTGAATAGTGAGGCCCTGTAGCAAAAGAGAACAACGCACGAGACTTGTCATTCCAAGAGCCACTCACTGGAGCCTAATGCTGAGGCTCTAACCCAGCATGTAACCTGCTACACTGTCCTGCAACCATCTGCATAGGTGTTCTCCATCATGGAGTGTAGTGTGCCAGGTGTATAATCCTGTAAGATGATTTAACATGTGGAATCTCCCCTTTGGGGACAAGTAATCGAGGAGAGGGCTCAGCATGAGTATCTTCCTTTACTAAGTCGTAGCAAGATAGACAGTGAGTACCTTCAGTGTAAGAGCATAGGTTTGTGTATCTAAATAATCGTATGATCATAATTGAGCAGAGGATAACTAGGGGTAAATAAGAGTGGAGGATTTTTTCTACAGAAAGCCTAGATAGGCTGTGTTTATGTAAAATGAGGTTTCTAATGTTACGGAGTTCATAACTTTTCAACTTTAGAAAGGGTAACTTTCTAAAGGAAAGGGTAGGTTTCTGTATGACCTTTGGCTTCACATGAAGACTTTGAAAATCAAGAAAAGGCTAGTTTTGGCAAAACCAGCCTGTTTCTGTTAAGTACTTTCTATTTAGTTATCTTGTCGTGACACATGGCGTCATTGTATTCTTCTCTGCTGTCCTCCTGCTATGTCCTAGCTGGCACAAACTGTAAGTTTTCATTTAGTTTATATAGCAACTGATCTGTGATGGTGGTTTGTTATGCTGTTATAATAAATAATACTGACCTTGGCTGCTGGCTTTCCTCAGTGTGTCTCTATCATGAGCCAGTCATTAAAGATTGAACTCACACTATTGACTGTAGAAATGAACATAGCTCACTTCTAACCACAGCACTTGTGTCAGGGATAGAGACATTTGCATGTATTCACTCCTGTGAACCCATATAGACACATAAAAGGAATTTTAATTGCAAATAGTTAGAAAGAATGAGGTGCTAACTTTATGATCTTTGATGATGGGGAAAGATTCTACAGTTCTGTCTTAGGAAGAAGCAGGGATTAAACAAAATTATTTTACTGACAGCTATTTTATAGGATTTATTTTGCATAGCATTTAAGCAAGGGTACCATTTCTTTTTTTCTCCTTAGAACAGAGCTTTTGCTTAATAGATACAGAGTGAGTAGGATTTGTTTTGTTATGTTGACTTTAAAAGTTTTTTTTATTTTGGAGAAATAACTGAACATAAAATAAATTAAATTTAGATTAATATGTTTAATGAGAACTATGTGACCTTTTCTGCTTATAATGGGAAAGTAATGTATTACACAATTAAATAAGCTATATGCAAGTGGATATGATAAAAGACTTTGGCTGAGAATATGAAGGGCGTTGACTGCTAAGGAGAAAGACTACAGTGGAAAATTCCATGTAAATTATTCTATGAGCAGCATCAAGCAATGAAACACTCCTTTATTCTTTCTGTAGTGGCAATGTGGGTTGTTCTGGGTCTCCACATAACTGATGTTTACCACTGGCTGTTCTGATGTGTTGAGCTCCAGTCTGGGAGAACTTTCCATTCATATCCTACTTCTGTAAATGATGTCCTTGTGTTCAGCAAAACTCGTCCATTGAACACTGAATTGAAATCATGACGTAGCCAGCATTAGTATTAGCTACTTCAGTTGTTCTGTAACTGATAAAAACTGTACTGAAAAAAATATAATTCTGCATAGAACCTTTAGTTACACTGTAGCTTTTTAATACTGAGAATGGGATTTCTGGGAAGGGTTGAGGGGGAACAAGGACCTAACTGTGCAAATGTTAATGAGGAGCCCCACCCAAAAAAAAAGTGAGAGAAAGTTCGAAGATGTCTGCTAGGAAGCTTGTGCATGTGAGCGAGGAGCTGATAGTATAGCTTACCAGAGGTGAACATTAAAAGATGAATGAATGGAAGACAATAGATTGGGAGATGGATATTGGGAAGGATTTTTAAAGTGGAGAAAGTAGTTTACTTAATGTGACAAGGGCAATGTGAGGAGAGTTACATACAGAGTAGTTACTGTGACCAAAATGTCATCTAGGAAAATAATTTTTTGCAGCAGTGTCATGAACGAGCAAAAGCTTGGCAAGATTGCATCAGTTGTAGAAAGGAAGACTAGAGTAACTAGTTGAGATGAGAGCCTAAACAATATACAGGAAAACCTTTGAGGTCTTTAGCAGAATGATGAACCAGAGACAGGCCCAGGTAATAGAGTTCGTAGCTATTTTTGCTTACATGACCAACAGATCAAAGACGACTTCTGTACAAAGGTGAATTTATATTATTACTGTTCTTGTTTTAGGTAAAGAAGATGAATTTCCAAAGAAGCCGTTGGGGCAGATTCCATCAGGACCTCAGCTTGCTATGCTTAACTCCACTCCAGTGCTTAATGGGCAGAACAGCACTGGCACACAAACGACAAGGACAGAGAGGAGACCATCTCCAGCAGAAGAACCAGAAAGTTCGCCCAATAACCGAAAAAGAATTAATTCACTGGAAAAGAAACCTTCCTTAAAACAGCAGAAGACTCGACCAATAGAGGCACAAAGTAGTGTGCCTAAGAATGAGGTAGATACCAGAAGAAAGCCTCAGCCAACAGAGCAAGACAACTTGAGACAGTATAATAATGCAGCTGCTAATCAAAATTCTAATGCTACTTCAAATACAAGAAGGGAATTTGTACCTAAGTGGAATAAACCGTCTGATATCAAAATAATTGAAAAGACAATGAAACTTGCTGCAGAGGTGAAAGGAAGGCAAATAAACCATTTGGTTTCGGGCCCACCACTAAGTCCTGGAGAAATGCAGCCTTTGAATGTAAAGCAAAAGATGAGGGTTTTGGATGCTGATGAAGGTAAGCGAGGGTCTAATGCATCGCAGTATGACAATGTTCCGGAAGTTGAGAGTGAGCATGAGAATCTTGTTGAAGAGATGCTTGAGAGGGCTCATCCACAGAGCCCTAGGCACATAACATATTCTAATAGTCCAAGAAAGCAAACTGAAAAAATACCAACTCCGTTAAAAATACCCAATAATTATACCTTCGCTTCACAACCCAGATCTCCCAAATACTCATCACAAACTGATGGACCACCTCATGGACTGAATGTAAAACAGCCACTGCCATGTTATAGTAATCCACCTACTTACCATGGAAATTCTCCAAAACATGTTTCCAGTGTAGGCAATACAAGCTCTGTACCTCTACATTATCATGGGAATCGAACCAGCCCTTCTGGTAGGCCATATGGTTCTTTTATTTCAGTAGATTATTCTCTGGATAAACTACAAATGAATTCCTATCCTGCCAGTCGCCAAAATCCTCTTTCACCAACCCCTGCTCAGATAGAAGTAGCCCCTGTCGATGCTTATACCAGCAACCCGAGGTCCCCCACAGGTGTCAAATTCATAATCCCTCCAGTGGATTATTTACCAGAAGATAGAAAGTGGCCAGATGCTGCGTATATTTACAGACATGAACCCTACAGGCAGCCCTGGAGCCAAGACGTTAACAAAGGCCACTTGGATAATTTCCAGAAATATCAGCGTTTTCAGTCAACGCCTCTTCAAGACCATAGTCTTCCTGCTGTTTCTGTGGACAGTACAGTAAGATACAGGACTTCACCAACCTTTGAAGAGCATGGTTCACCACAATACCAATATTCAAGCCCATCAGCTCAAGCCCAACACTATCGAAATAGAAATGATGGATTGTCTATGCATGAATCCGTGCTTCTCTGAGAATGTGTCTATGCTTAGTAAAATGGCAAGAACCAAAAGCAATTAAACATTACTGTGTTAGTAGTAGTCCACCTCAGTTCTTCTGTGAAATGCAGACAGTTCATATGAGTCTCAGAAATAACAACACTGTTTAAAAGATGTTTCAGACTTTCATTGAAGGCTAGTTGAGTTCTTAGACTTACATTGAAGCTATTGAAAGTGATCTGATGCACATAGGCATAGCAATAAGAACATATATACAATGTGGGTAATACTGTCGTTGTTCCTTACATTTAAATATCTTGTGTTACAATCTTTCTGCCTAAAACCTGTAACACATTTACAAGTTTTATTTTGACTGACATTGTTAATGCACTGTATAGATATGTGTGTGTGTGCGCGCGTGTGAGTGTGCATTTATAATACACAAACGCATATGGAAAAGAGCTAAAGAGTTTAAATGTAAATGCATTTAACTTTGGGCAAAGCTTGTGAAGTACTTTTATTTCATATTAATTTTTCTTTGTAATTTATTTGAGAAGCCATTCATTTTGAATGGGAATTTCTGTTGTTTTTATACAGCTGCCTCAGCATCCCAGTATCTGTTCTGGTCAGGAGAGATGCTTTGGGATTATTAATTTAATCTTATGTGAGAGTTAATTTTCTCTCTTTGACTACTGTTTGTCATTTTCCTCAGCAAGAAGGAGCAGGCAGGCAAAAGCAGAAAGCCAAAAATGTCTCTCTAATCTGGCTAAGAAATGGTGCTTAAAATTCAGGGCAGTGTTTAGTTTTTTAGGTGCATCGAAAACGGAGAATTTTTACCTTCCCACCCAAATCTACCTTCAGAATGTCATCCTATATGCAAAATATTGGAGCACAGTGAGAGTAATGCCAGATACAGAAATGGTGCTGCACCCTTCACTTTTTGCCACGCTGTGCTGTCAAACTAAACAAACTGGTTGCAGGGCCAAATCCAGCGGTATCAGAGAATGACCACCTCGCTCTTGTGAAGTACATGCAGGAGTCTGAGATTTGGTCAAGTCTTGATATTCCCTGAGCTATGTAAGTATGCAGTGTCCCTTCTCTTAAGTTTTGTCATGTCGGTTCCATTTTGTTTTGCTCTTGTTTTCCCTAAAGAGCCAGCAGGCTCCTGTCTGTGATCGGGCATGTGCTACTGTGCTACCAGGCTGCTGCGACACTGTGCGGTGTTTTACACTAAAATGATCCGGACTGTTAATAGGAAGCTTAAAATCCTGGTAATGTATTTTTAATTAGTGTTTGCAGCCGTTTCCACTTTGTGTTTTCCTTTGCTTGACTGTGAATTGGGGATGTTAAAAAAAAAAAAGATGGTTAAGTGGCACATGTAGGATGCAGTCCTGCGAGCTGCTGGGTGCTGTGTAGTAAGTGCTGGATGCAGTCACCTCCCATTGAAACAGATGGGAGTTGAGACGGATAAGAATCTCACCAGAAGAGGTCCTTGGAGTGCTTAACAGAAAGATTTTTCTAATACTTAAATACCGAACATTGGTATTGACACCAGTTTTGGATGGCTTGGAAGGTTGTCCTGTTATCTTTTGTTTTGTATGACTTGTTAACTCAAAAAGTAGAAATGGATTTTTTTTTTTTTTCCTTTAAAGAATGAGCTTTAGTGCCTATTATTGCTGCAGGTTGGCTCTGTAAGTTTTAAGGTACAGAAGTAAAACACTTTTTACAAATGGAAGTAACATTTACTTAGTATATTTCAAAAACTTTTTTGTGTATATAATGTCTGATGTAATTTTTAATGAACTGGACAATTTTATATTTTAAAAATTGCAAACTGCAGCAAAGTAACAGTAGCAAAGCACTACACTGAAACTCTAAACTAAAATTGTGAAGATAAATATGACTTGGGCTTACCTTAGTTCTGATTGCTTACAGCAGCTTAGAAATGTATGTATATAATATTGTGGCTAAGTGTAATAATCTCAGTGTTTAACAATGGTTCTGTAATTCATAACAAAGCTGTACAATTTATTTGTGCAAGCAACAAAAGGCTCCCAAATATGTATCGGCATTAGTAAATACTGTAGATTTTTATATATAAAATATATACACTATTTTCTTATGTCATCTGCAACAGTTTTATAACTGTGTATCCTATTTTGATGTGACTGTATTTTTAACATGTTAAAATAATAATAATTAAGTTTATGTTGTTTTGTCTTTATTCTTAACTGATAAGCTCAAAACTGGACTTTTGCGCTTCTCAGCACAAGTAATTACTTTTCATGAATGAATTGTGTATATGTATATTTGATATATGTCGTATTTGTACATGTTTATTTTTGGACTAATATGGATACAATCTATATGGTGCTTTTGCGTTATTACAGAAACAGCAAGATTATTGATTATAGTTTACTACACTGCTAAACCTTAACCTATCATTTGCGAAAGTTAGGAGTATAAACTGTGAATTTTCTGGTTTTGTTCTAATAATCTCACCCAATATCAATTCAAAAGAAGAGAATTATTGGCATGAGAGACTTGCAAAGTTGCATTGATCAAAGTGTGAAATAATAGTCTGACTATGGTTACTGTGTGTCTCACATGTTTAGAGGATGGTATAGAGTTTTTTTTAAAAAAAAAAGCTTTGTGTCATCTGTTTGTAGTGCAAAATACACTTTTATCTTCATTTAACTGGATGAACCAAACCAAAGGTACTGCCAGATTCGGATCTGTCACTCATACCAGTAACAAAAAACCCCTCGATGCAGAGTGAAGTGAGACACAACTGTGCCAGTGTCTTGCTGGTAGAGGGAATCATCTCAGTGTAATGGATTAGATACCCTCATAAGAGCTTTTCTATCACTGTTTTCTTTGATCTGAAAACAGTCAAGCAGTAAGTATCAACATAAAATACTTGAGCCCTTTCCTTCCTATGGTTTCATAATTTTCCAAAATTCACCTGCTTTGAGCTATATGAACTGTAGGTTTCTTGTCCAAGTTAGTTGTCATGGCTCTCCCTGTGTAGTGAGCCAATTTCAAGGTAGGGTTTGGAGAGCGATTAAACACCACACTCTCTCCACTAATGCAGAAGAACACTGAAGACAAAATAAGGATAGATGTCTAACTTCTGTATGGCAAAAATTAAGTGAAATTAAACTAATTAGAATTTGAGAGGAAAAGGAAATCACTCAAGTTTTATGCTGTGGTCTTCTGTGGTTGCTTTTCCTTTCTGCCTGATACCATGCTAAATTAAATGTAAAGACTTCAGTGTTGGACTGAAGCACTTCAGTCTTCTGCAGTACAAATTGTTGTGACCATGGAAAAAAAGACAGGAAGGATCACAGTGTCACTGGCACTCCTAACCTTGTTGATGAGTGGGATGTGATTATATGATCAAACTGCTTATCTCTGTAATGAAACCATGTTATGCACTACAAGCAAAGACAGAAACCATCCCTGCTCCTTCCTCGTCTGACCCGGGGGAAGATTCTTTTCTGACAGCAGATTCGGTGATGAATTTGAATCTAAGCATCCGCTCACTCGGGCATCTAAGGAAGAGAATCTGACCTCAGGAAAATGATCTTACCCTTTTCATCTCCCCAGATCCAGCTGTGGCCTGACTGTAGCGCTTCAGGGAAGGCAACACAAGAAAGAGAAAACCCATTTAGCTAGAAGTCTATTAAGGAGAGTATTCCCTCCTAATCCCTGTTGATGACTACCTAAAGCCTTAAAGTGTGATATTGTTTGCAATCGATTGAGGATGATCAGACCAATCTGGGCAATCCTGTTTTTCCCAGGGCCACGAAGGAAGGTCCTCACCCATGTAAAAGTTGGTTACCTTCATAGTACCTGACAGCAGGATTAATCCCATATTGTAAAAGTAACTGCTATATCCTCACTACCAATAAAAGTTTCAAGATTAATAGTAAGGGATCTTTAGAAATATTGGAGGTTGCAGAAGAGAAATATCTTCTTGTTAGTCGACGATACACCTTTGTAATAAACCACTCAATAATTCCAAAATTAGATTCAAAGAGTAAACAACATTGAAAGACGGAACAGCCTTCCAGTGTGGGGAAGCAAATCCAAAGCTTCCCTGAGGTACATACACATTTTCCAGGGAGATTTCTCTCAAGAATCCTATCCTGAATTACCCATCATCCTCAATATGACTTTGAAATGGACTTGCAAATTACAGACTTTTTTTTAATCTCCCCCTTGGGTGGCATTACACTGCATGCACAAAGAGGAATACTATTTAAAATATGCCATCAAACGCCCACCGTTTCATTTCCAGCAGAGTACATTCTGCTTTCAATACTTCAGTGAGAGGAAAATATAATCTTTTTTTGTAGTCCTTTAAGTACTGCATTTTTACAAAGCTCTGTAAACGTAGCGTAGTTACAGTTTAACAGTTACTTAACCAAGTATCATTTAGGCTCCTCTTTAGATGGTGTGAAGGTACTGCACAGTTTACTGCAGGTTGGTTTTTTTTCTTTTGGGAAATATTAAAGACAATTTAAATGCTTTTAATGGCAGAGTTGCAATGAGGATATGACTACGCCAGCAGTTGAAATTGGAAATGTAATTGCAGTCGTTTGAGGATGGCCTTTAAGTGGTTGCTGAATCTGGTGGGCTGGGGAAAGACACCATTTTCTGGCTTCTTTGTGCCATGAGGTCTTCCTACTGCAACAGGGAATGCGCAAGTCCCTCTCCGAAGTGATTTGATTCTCTCTGCTCACACTGACTGCCTTTTGTCGTGCTTATGGAGTTAATATATTAGTGGAAAATCAATGGTGCTTTCAGAATATCCCAAAACACTTGTTCTGAATAATCTGAAAATGAATACATTCCTTTTTTTTTTAGTATGTTTATTTTACTGATATTTTGTTGTTGGTCTTGTCAAGGTGAGCTGTGCTTGATTCTTCTGTCTCCTTACTTACTCTGATAATGTGCCAACCCGTGTTTTTCAGAGGTTTTGTGATGCTTTTTTGCTGCTGTTCTGTTGTTCATGGGAAACATGATAAAGCAGTTAATAACAGAGGTTACCGTTTGCCTCTTCAGCTTTTCCTCTCTCCAGACAATGTGCAAATTAAAAAAAAAAAAAAGATCATTTCTATTCTCAATATTACAGTTGGTCAGAAATTTCTCCGGGAAGGTTTTGTTTCTGACAGAAAGCAATTTAATTTAGCGATTGGTGAAGGATGCTGTAGTGTGAAGGTACTTGTATAGTCTCTGCAATCCAAAGTCATAGGTTGCTTCTGCTTGGTATCAAGCAACAAAAGCTGTATTACACGCAGGGCCAATCAAGCAGTTTTTGCAAAATGCTGTATCGTGCCACAAAAACATGCCAGCGCAGACTGGC